AAAAAAAAAAACTTTATTTTCAATTTTTATTTTTATTTCCTTTTCTATTTCTAAAATACAATTTTATTTCTTGAAAATATAAAAGAAAAAAAAAAGCAAAATTATTCCATTTTAGTTTGCACCAAATAATGCTTACACTGTGGAACTAATCATTGGAAGCCTTCGTATTAATGATTTATCAAAATTGATTGATCATTTATATGACGATCAATCGATTTGTATTGAATGGAAATTTTTGGATTTTCCATTAGAGGAATGCGAAACAGTTGGAGAACCGTTGCCACTACCACGTGATACGCAAACGACGACAGATTTTAACTTTAAAAAATGTCATTTTATTCACATGCTCTAATAAACACCTATTATTGCAGAAATATTTATAATAATTTTGAAAAAAAAAAGAAATTAAGAGAAAAAAATTAGCATGCAAAATTTATTACAGCTTATGTATTAACCGATCGACAATATCATTTATTGCGCCAATGGATCGAGCACGGAAATAGGTGTGAAAAATTGTTATTTCTAAAAATGAGCATCTTATCATTTAATAATAAGTATAAATGTTTGATTTAGATTAGAGATGAATTTGGTGAGTAATGGAAGGAAATTGAAATCAAGTGAAGATTTAGGCGTAGCGTACGCTGATTTAGGTGCGCAATATAATGCAGAAAAACGATTGATATATTGTAAGTATATAATCGGTGAATTTTCTTTTTTCTTTTTTTGTTTTTCTACAAAAGAACTTAAAAATTTATTCAACTAATGAAAAAACAAAAACAACTAAATTGCTAATTCAAATTTATCGAATTTTTAAATTAGACTTTTATAAACGAAAATTTTTGAAGAACAAAGTAAATAGTCTATATCATTGATGATAAGCTTTAATAATCAAAAACAAAAGGAGGATGACATTTAAAAAAGGGAAAAAAATTGTTTGTCACAAAGCAAAATTTATAGTTTCATTTACAATAACATTTAAATATTTAATTTTATTTTTTTCAAATTATAACTTATCCAAGTGTAACACGAACTTTTTAAAAAAAGTTTCAAAAATGATAAGTAATTTTTCATTTTCTTCAGTTGTTGATATAGATGGTATTGAAGTGGCAAATGTCGACATAAGCATATCATATAGTAAAAAACTATTGGAACAACTTCAAAATGTTGGAAAATTTTTCGAAAATGATTAAATTTGTTTTATTTTCATCCTTACTAGTTGCTTGCATTTATTCTTAGTTGCTCCATAATTATTTTGCTCGTTTTATAAATTGTACTAAAATTGATTGAAAATATTTAAAAAGTTAATTGTGATATTTTCTCTTAAAAAAAATCAGTGCTCTATTTTGAGAGATGTAAAAGTTACATATATCGTTCTAAATTTAAAATTTAATTAATTTAAATTCTACCAAAGTGTTTTTAGTTATAATATAAATTTAAGCATGGAATTTTCTAGAAATATAAAAATGCACGGGAAAATGTCAATCAAAAAAAGAAGCGCTTCAATTTTGCTCTCTTCCAAATGTCTCAGATCAATTAATCTTTGTTGTTCCATTCGTTCTTCCTTATTTTTTTTGTGCATATTGCCTTGCAGCCATGATATTATGTAAATCATTGGCTTGGCTTCATTTTGGCAATCCATTGGGCTTCTTTTTGATTAGATAAATTGTACTGTGTAGCAGTTATTTGTTACCAAAATAAAATTATATTTTTATCAATCTCACTTCACTTCATTTCCATAATTATTCGAAAATTTAATTTCAAACAATGGCTATAGTAAAGTTAATGTTGGATATGAATAAATGGATGATGCTAATTCTTCCTTTGTTACTCTGAATAAATTCTTGACCGATTTGTTTGATCATAATTTCTTTTTGTACTTCTGATAAATGTATTTAAATGAATTATAATTATTATAAGGTGATATTAATAAGGTGGTTTTAATAAGATGGGAAATGCAAGCTTTTTGATTTAATCGATGCAAAATATTATGCTAATAAAAATTTACGCTAAGATTGAATTCTATAAGATTGTTTCTATTAGCTCATGAATCAGTCATGATTGAAAAATTGCAGTAAAATTGTAAGAAAATATGAATTGCTATCCAATAAATCGGAACAAAAATTTCTAGTCAATTTTTCAGAGCAAAAAATTCACTCCGCGATTAATTAATTATTTTAATTGATAAGCGAATGATGTATGAATGATACTGCAGTGAGTGTATCATTTTGCTCAAACTTTTCATAGTAATTTGCTTGCAAAAATTATCAGTTCTTATCACCTCCTTTACAACAAATTTGGAACTAAGTCAAAAAAATTAGGCAATCTTCGGGAGTAACAAAATTTGTAAACGCAAATAACGACAATAGCAACGCCGATTACATCTACCGATTTTGATATACGAATATTTTATAAGAATGGCTCATACTGATAGATAAGAAAATGGTTAAATTTAGCTAATAATTGAAAAATTAGTCAAGTTAAATTAAGCCAATGGTTAGTTTGGATGCTATATAACTTTTTGGTTTGATTGAAGCTTCTGAGATGTCAACACGCTTTATATCACATTTTTACTCATTACTACCGCTATTCTCGTTACTATTATTTAAACCATTATTAAATTGCGCATAATTTAATTCAACTTAATTTTAAATATTTTCAGATATGAATTCGCTCAAAGAAATAGAGAAATGTGAGAATAAAACATGGAAGGAGAATACATTAAAAAGTACAAAATTTCATGATACTAAGCAGTTGTACATCGAAATTCCATTGTCCGTAAATAATCATGAAAGTACAAGTACTTTGTGAAACATTTCAGCCTTCTTTTAATACGTGGATGAAATCTATCGGTGATTGAAATTTCCAAAATTTAACTGATACGATTATCTTTAAAAAGCAGAACAAAAGCTAAATTCCACGTTTCAATTTTTTCATGTTACCTCGAGTGTTTGATAAGGAAGAAACGCATTGTAAATGAAGAAATTCCTGCTTGAAATCCATAAAAAATCTCTGTTAAATCTAAATTTAAAAATTTGAGCCTTAAATAATTTGAAATTTTTTAAACTTTTGCTATTTAAAATTTTATTCTGATAAACGTATGAAATTTTTGCGCATCATATTCAAAAATTTTAAGCTTCATCAGAAATGATCCCAAACTTTTTCAACAATCAAGAATCATTATCGAATTGTGAATGTGCAATGGTGAAACCAATAATTCATAAAGAAATGAATTTAATAGATGCTAATGCTAATGAAATGTTACCATCGGATAGATCTTCACCGGTTTGTTGAATTTTGTCTTCTTCTTTTCTTGCCTTTTTCTGAAAAGCTTGAAAAATGATTGAAATATGCAATAACATTCTGAAATTTAGAGCTAAAATTAAAATTAAAAATTAAAATTTATTAATTTGATGAAGAATGTTAATGATATATTTAATTTGCTATTATTATAGATAAATATCGATGAAAATTTAAACTTATGCTCTTTGACAACTTCCAATGATTGCTTAACAAAGTTAGAAGCTATTCAAAAATGGTACGATAGTAAGCTTCTGGAATGTGGCATTAAACGAACTACCGAGATGGATAAGAATTGGGATATCCCGGAAGAACAGAATGATTCATATTGCAGCACTTGGGAATATGAGATGAAATGGAATGCCTCTAACGGTATCATTGATTAATTCAATTCATCAATTATTATGAATGTGTTTTTCAAAGTTTATAAATATTTTAATAATTAATCCGTTAAAATTATTCAATTTGTATTGTTATTTCATATTTCGCACCATAAGCTATTTGTTTAAAAAAAAATATGTTGAACATGAAAACCTGTAGAAACTAAACGATATTTTAAACAGCCAAATTAGTTTGAGCAAAGATTTTTATATACTGCAGAATTTGTACACTGAATTTTACGAAGATTTGTTGAATGTTTAACTTTACTTTTAGATGCAACTGAAAGTTTGGATGAGACTCGAGATTCAGAGTCATTTCTATTACCGTTTGCCAGGTCTCGAGAACTGATACCAGAATATCAGATGGATGAAAAAACTGTTAGCTATTCAAAATCCTCATTCGTGAAATGAAATGAACATCATAAATTTTAGGTGAAACTGAATTCAGCCTCATATTTTTTGCGAGAACTATACTTGATCATTGAATTTCAGAATTCGAAAGATAGTAGAATTTACAGCAAAGAAGAATTCAATGCTAACGAGGTTACCAGTCAAGATTCAACGAATTCATCAGCATCAGAAAATGTCACCAATGCTTTTTCTTCCGGTTTCTATTCCCTTCTTTTTGTCATCTTTACGATATTCGTCTTCTATCGAATGATAAAATAACTTCTCCAGAACTGCTCGTTTCTGAAATGTTCCTCTTTGAATATGCCGTAAAGATACATTAAATTCAAATTCTGATCGTAAAATTGAATTATTCTGTTGCTCACTTTTAGCGCCGACATTTTGAAGCACAACTATTGATTGTTTTTTTTTCAATTGCTTTGAACATAAAAAAACTTGTGCTATCATTAAATATAGAAATATAAAATTCAACTTACTATAAATTACATGTTACTCTTTCATTAATTAGTAATTAATAAGGCTAACAAAATTTCATGATTCAAAAAACAAAACCTTGCTTCCATGCTTTTTTGAGGAATAGAATATTTCAAAATG